GGTTGAGGGTTGAGGGTTGAGGGTTGAGGGTTGAGGGTTTAGGGTTTAGGGCTTAGGGTTCAGGGCTTAGGGTTTAGGGCTTGGGGTTAAGGGCTTAGGGTTTAGGGCTTAGGGTTTAGGGTTTAGGGTTTAAGGCTTAGGGCTTGTTTAGGGTTTTGGGTTCTGGGTTTTGGGCTAAGGGTTTAAGGTTTAGGTATGGCTTGTCAGGTTGAGGACTTTAGGAATTGCGGCCAACTATTCGCCAATATAGAACCCAATATCTACCCCAAGGCTTCAAAAAAAAACAATTGGGCCTGTCGTAGTATTGTGTTTTCTGTCACTACTGTTTTGTCTGACGCGTTTCATATTTCTATCTTCCTGCTGCCTTCCTTCTTGCGTTCTTTCTACCGTTGCTCCTTTAGCTCTGTTGTCGTTCTTGCTAAACCTCCATTTCCTCTATATTCTCACAGGAAAACTCTATCCCATCTAAATTCTCAAAGGAAAATCCTAATTTCCGAGAAAAAAGTTGCAATAGAACGACATGTTAAGAGGAAAATATTTACTGACAGGAAAACGGCTATGTCCTCACTGCAAAACGCAAAGACAGCCCGACAATAAGTGGCGGGCCCTTTACAATGTGCTGAGTGCACCCTACAACAAAACTTCAAACAGTCCGGTGGTTGTTACCAGCCTTCTCAACCCTACACCCTACCCTAAACCCTAAACCCTAAGCTATACCCAAAACCCTAACCCTAAACTTTACCCCAAACCCTAAACCGCAAACCCTAAGTCCTAACCCCAAACCCTAAACCTTCGCATACCCTGGCCAACCTCGCAGGCCGCAGCACGCTGCTGGACCCTTTGAGCCTCCAGCACCTGGCAGCAGCTTGGTATGTAGGTAAAGTTTGCTTCCTAAACCCAAAGCCCTAAGCATCCCTAAACCCTAAACCCCAAACCCTAAATCCTAAACCCTAAAGTTTCTGGGGTTGCCTGGGGTTGGTAGGCTCGCCCAAAGGTCTTGGAAACGCGCAGTGCCAAGTCTAGGGTGTAGGGTTTAGGGTTTAGGGTTGAGGGTTTAGGGCTTAGGAAGTTCAGGAATTCGGATGCTAAAAAGATGTTTATGGGGCATGGCTTCAGACTTGCGAAGTTTGACAGCCTAAACTTAAACTCTACAGGGCATCGAAAACCTGGATTGCTTGGAATGGGACCGGAGGTTTACAAGAGATTTCCACATATTCAAGGATGCCTGCTGCCCAGCAGTCCTACTTTGGGATTCCCGCTGTCGGCTCAAGGTTTCCACTCAACCCTTCGAACAAAGCAGATAGGCAATACTGAATAGTAGCAGAACCCGAACAAGGCGAGCCAAGCAAGGCGGCAAGGTCGGAGTCCAGGCGCTTTACCGAAAGCTAGCCGGACAATGGGCATCTTTGCGGGCTCAAAGAAACACATGAGAGACCCTAAACCCTAAACCCTAAACCCTAAACTCTAAACCCTAAACTCTAAACCCTAAACCCTAAACCCTAAAAGCCGCCGGCCTTCCGGAGGCCCTTCAAGTCCACCGCTTGATGCCTGGTGAGATCAGCCAACGCAGCAGGTCGTGACATCTTGTGTGAAATGGCCTAGATGTATTGATTGCCATGCCAGATCCCATGGGCAGTTTCGGAACATCTAAGTCTTGACGACGAGGATAGGTTTGCGATTGCTGGCAAGAGTTGCTCATACCTTTCAACGAAAATGGGTTACATCAGCCACATCCACCTCAAAATAGTGATCCTGAGAGGAGAAGTGAGGCTGTTCCTGCAGACTCCCTTACATTGCATCCAAAACATGCCTAAACCCTAAGCCCTAAACCCTAAGCCCTAAACCCTAAACCCGAAACCCGAAACCCTAAACCCTAAACCCGAAACCCGAAACCCGAAACCCTAAACCCGAAACCCTAAACCCTAAACCCTAAACCCTAAACCCTGAACCCTAAACCCTAAACCCTAAACCCTAAACCCTAAACCCTAAACCCTAAACCCTACCCTGGGATCCTGGGAGGCCGAGTGCAATGCGGCCGGCATTGCCAGCGGCAGACTACAGGCCTCCACTCATCGAGGCACGGACGACCACTCCAGTTGTGGCCTTGGAAGTCAAGGCAGGTTTAGGGTTTAGGGTTTAGGGTTTAGGGTTCAGGGTTTAGGGTTTAGGGTTCAGGGTTTAGGGTTTAGGGTTTGGGGTTTGGGGTTTGGGGTTTGGGGTTTGGGGTTTGGGGTTTGGGGTTTGGGGTTTGGGGTTTGGGGTTTGGGGTTTGGGGGTTGGGGGTTGGGGTTTGGTTTAGGGTATCGGGTTTAGGGTTTAGGGTTGAACTCACTGGCAACTTCTGTTGAAGGAGTCCTTCACAAAGACTGCTAGCGGCTGAAGCCTTCTTTAAAAAGAGGCAACACACTCCTGAGATCTTGATGACACGCTTCAAGGTTCGAACCCTTAAAATCTTATGTTTAGTTTTGGCTGGCTGGATGTATGGCGGCTAAGCTGCTAGAGCGGCCTTGAGGGCTTCAGACTATAAAGGTGCGGCGCCTGTTTACATGTCAAGCCGTACAACCAACCTGGGGGCTGAGCGCCTCCTACTCATTGTGAAACGCCGATACTTTGTCGTTGTCCAACTTCATGAACCGTGCTCCCGCCAGAATATCGCGATAGTCGAAATTGTGCTCCGGCTACATTGATATGCGTATTTGGAGGCCCCCAAAGCCAACCCATGAGTCCACCGTGCGCAGCCCAGAGTGCTGGGAGCACGATCGGTAGCCCTCAACATGCATCGCGCTGTGGCGTGAGCACGAGTCCCACCTGAGCGCGGAACTGCGACGCGGGAACAAGTTTTGGAGGCGCAAGCACGAGTCGCAGGCACAACGCGCACCGCGTCGTGATGGCAGCATGATGTCGGCTAATGGACACGAGTAGGGTTTGGAGCACAAGGGGACCTTTCACTGCCTGCGGTCTGCAGTGGAACGATTGCTTCCCTTCCGTCTTTCTTATTGGTGCTTATACTGGCCGTAAACCCTAAGCCCACAACCCCAAGCCCCAAACCCCAAACCCTAAACCCTAAACCCTTGCGTTGGGCACAGATGCGAAGCATCCGGCCGACAGATCCCGTGAAGATGAGAGGGAGGAATGGCTGGCTGCCCTAGCTTGATTCGTCACTCTTGCCTGGACTAGGAGGGTTGAGGGTTTAGCGTGTAGGGTTTAGGGCTTAGGGTTTAGGGTTTAGGGTTTAGGGTTTAGGGTTTAGGGTTTAGGGTTTAGGGCTTGGGGTTTAGGGCTTAGGGTGGCTTGGTTTGCCGCCAAGACGGCTTTGCTTCTGTGACAAGCGACTGGCCGCCTCTGCTGGGACTGCATGTGGCCATCTTTCTCCCCCATCCTTTCCTTCTTGTCTTGCTAGGATTTCGGGTTTAGGGTTTAGGGTTTAGGGTTTAGGGTTTAGGGTTTAGGGTTTAGGGTTTAGGGTTTAGGGTTTAGGGCTTGGGGTTTAGGGTTTAGGGTTTAGGGTTTAGGGTTTAGGGTTTACGGTTTAGGGTTTCGGGTTTAGGGTTTAGGGTTGAGCGTTCAGGGTTTAGGGTTTCGGGTTTAAGGCTTAGGGTTTAGGGTTTAGGGTTTAGGGTTTAGGGTTTAGGGTTTAGTTTAGGGTTTAGGGCTTAGGGTCTTGCTCTGACTCTCTCTCTCTGGGCTTCATCTTCTAATGCCCCGACTGCTCTTTCCTTTCACCGAACGCCTGTCTGCAACAAACCCTAAACATACATCCTACACTGCATGCATCAAAGTCGCAAAGGTTCCGGCTCCTCCCGAGCACAAGGGATTGTGGCAAGAGGTCGTACAGGCTTTGCAGGGCAGACGAGGAAGTTGCAGTGTTGCGTGGGGCTTCGGGTCGGGTAACGCCGAAGCGATGCGAATAAATACGCCTGGGAAGGTCTTCTTACCTCTGGAGACTCACGTTAGGCCTTGCTCAGGCTAGCGATGATGCGACAATGCATGAGATGAGGACTCCCCGCGAGAACTGAGACTTCGGGGTCCCAAAACACCAAACTCACCCGCCTCCTCACATGCAACAGCTCAACTAACACTGGGCAAACCATGCCACAACGTCGCTAGACATCCAGCCCAGCGAAATGGTAGGTTGAGTGCTGGACCTTGGTTTGGGTCCTTTGAAAGTCATGCAGGGCCCTGGCTTCCACATTCCACGTAGCACGGACAGCCACAGAAGGGTAGCCTAAAGCCGACAACCAGCGTCTAGAGAGTTGGAAGCTAAGCAAACGGGTCCAACGGTCAAACCAACAGCCCCAGATGCCCCCAAACGTCACCCGAAGCTTCCTCGAAGCACTCGAGGATTGCGCCCATGATGCACGCGGAGTGGAGGGGTGGGGCGGAACGAGTTCGACTCAGGGCACCAGAAACTTGAGAGCAGGGCGAAATAGCATCAACGCATCAATGTCGAGAATCCTGGGCGCATTCTGTCGTCCTCACTTCAGAAGCGCACACACGCCCGCAGCAGTTGTGTACAGTTTTGGCCCGTGTGAGTGTTAGCCGGCAGAACTGCATATGCAACTATATATGTATGTGTAATGTATGTGTATATGTATATGTATATGTATATGTATATGTAAATGTATATGTATATGTATATGTATATGTATATGTATATGTATATGTATATGTACATATACATATACATATACATATATACATATATATATACATTGTAATGTTAGGTTTGCTGTTATCTATATATTCCGACAGGCATGAATTTTTCTCTTCCAGAGAAGACGACGAAACTGGAGGATGGCTGCGAGGGCTTAGGGTCTTGGGGTTGCCTCCTTTTGAGATCCTTCTCCGTGGCGGAAACATCAGCGGCGTCTTTCTTCTAAACTTCTGGCCCGGACTTCTCACAGCCCTCAGTTTTGCTGGGTGGCACGGTGCCTGCGAGTCGAGGTGATACAGCGTGCATTTTGGCATGGCTCCGCATTGGACAAGGCTCCACAAAGGTGTCATGCGTCTTCATAGAGTCCGATGCGGGGGATGTTCCACACAAGAGAGCCGGCGCAATCCCGCTGGTCGCAATCGATACCCATACTCTTGAGATTGCGACGGACTTCTGGATTCTGCTCGAGGCTGTGAAGGAAGGCGCTGTTGCGAGCGGAAGCCGACTCATAGTCGTAAGAGATATCGGACACCTCATCACTGTCAACCTCGTAGTCGTCAAAGAACTTCACTCGGTACACACATGGGATCTTCTGGTGAATCTTGATAGTTGCCCCGCAATAAGGCACCTCCCGCCGAAGCTCGCGGTAGTGGTACTTGGAATGGATCGCCTTAGGTCCCAGGCTACACGAGGAAACAAAAAGACTAAACCACAAACCCTAAACCCTAAACCCTAAACCCTAAACCCTAATCCCTAATCCCTAATCCCTAAACCCTACGCTAGGGGCACCCTGTCCTGCAAACCCCGCAAAACCCTGAACACGATCTGCTACGCTAAGCCCTAAACCCTAAACTCCCTTGAGACCCAAAAGCCCTAAGTCCTAAACCCTAAACCCACAACGCCCAAACCCTAAAACCCTAAACCCAAAACGCCTAAACCCAAAGCGCCTAAACCCTAAACCCTAAACCCTAAACCCTAAACCCTAAACCCTAAACCCTAAACCCTAAACTCCCTTGAGACCCAAGTCTCAAGCGGTTCGGGCGGCTCTCCGCGAGTGCGAAGCGCGTAGGGTGCGGGACACCGGGCCGTGATGACTCCCTCCTTGCGCGTGCAGCAGCCTTGCATCCCAGGGGTTCAGGGTTTAGGGTTTAGGGTTTAGGGTTTAGGGTTTGGGGTTTAGGGTTTAGGGTTTAGGGTTTAGGGTTTAGGGTTTGGGGTTTGGGGTTTAGGGTTTAGGGTTTAGGGTTTAGGGTTTGGGGTTTAGGGTTTAGGGTTTAGGGTTTAGGGTTTAGGGTTTAGGGTTTAGGGCTTCCCTCCTTGCGGGTGCAGCAATCTGGCATCTTAGGGTGGAGAAGGCTGTTGGGGCTTTTAGGGAGTTTTAGGGGTTTTGGGTTTGAAGGGTCTTGGTGGTTGAGCGGTTTAGGGTTTAGGGTTCAGGCGTTTTGGGTTCAGGGTTTACGGTTTAGCGCTTAGGGGCTCAGGGTTTTCAGTGATTTAGGGTTGTAGGGCCAGGGTTTCGGCCTTGCAGGGTTCGGGGGGTATAGGATTTGGTGCGTTAAGAGGGCCATAAGGGTTTGGGTTTGGGTTTCGGGTTCAGGTGTTTGGGTTAGTTAGCATGGCGGGATAAAGTGAGCCCCAAAGGCGTATAGTACAGGCTAGGCCAACTTGGGAAAGATGTGCATCCCAAAATTAGCATCTACGGGTGGTCGAAATAATGGTTTGTTTTTGGGGGTCCCGTATATGATGCGGCACCTAATGCTTAGGGTGTCCAACAAGGGACCCTAATTTTGACAACCACCCATATACTCCTGAAAGCCTTATATACACTTTTACTAGGATGGCCCTTAAAACCCCTCTGAGAAATATTCCTGAATAGGATCCTCTTAAACCCTAAACCCTCACAACCCTCAACCCGAAACCCTAAACCCCAAACCCTAAACCAGGAATGTACGAAATGTCCCGCTCCACCTAGTCCAGGATCGAAGGGGTTGCCCCGGTCCAGGCCAGGCTGCTGCGACAAGGCCCAATTTCCTAAGCTTGCACTTTGAAGCCCGGGTTGAGGGGTTTTTAGGGTTAGGGTTTAGGGTTTAGGGTTTCGGGTTTCGGGTTTAGGGTTTAGGGTTTAGGGTTTAGATCAAGCTGGCTGGGTAGCCAGCGCGGTGGATCTTGAACGCTAAATAAGCATAGCAAGGAACCCGATATACTATACACCCATATGACGGTAACAAGACTCACGGCTTCAGTTCAGCTCCTTAGCAAGAACCCGGGAGTTTAGGGTTTTGGGGTTTGGGGTTTAGGGTTTAGGGTTTAGGGTTTAGGGTTTAGGGTTTAGGGTTTAGGGTTTAGGGTTTGGGGGGGTTGGGTGGGGGTAGGGGGAGGTGTACGACCAAAACAGCCATATATTGATCAAGAGAAACTTCACCAAGAACTACGGAAACGGTGGCAAAAACAAAGATCACCATCGTAATCATCGTGCTCACAACAACTAGTTATTTGGGACCACAGCATCCGAGGCGGATCCACCGCGTGCAAGTCCTTAGCTGACCACTTTGCGCTACCAGTAGGGCTGAAACATCACGGTAGATAAGGACGCTGGCACCGTCGAAAGCCCGAATAGATAATCGGTTGGAAGGGCGACAACAACCTTGTAGAACGAGCCAGAGGCCTTTAAAGCTTAAAACCTTACTGTATTTACTACATGTGCAGAGATCGACATTCAAAGGCCCAAGTACAAATCAACTGTGTAAACCCACCCACGAAAATGCATGCACTAGCCTCCACAACCGTACTATGTGAACGTTGCACTCTGAAGTGCTGCTACGGACATTACCCTAGAAGTCGGAGGTAAAGGTTCATGACGCAGCTCAGCTCGTCTCGAAGCTGCTATTGAGGGGTATCCCGAGCTTGCTTCCGACTCAAGCTTGGTCTCAGAGTCCGAGCCCTCACAAAACAGGAGCCCCTAAGCCCGAAAGCCCCGAAACCGCAGAGGAAGTCTTAGCCACCACCAAGGGGCTGTATCGCAAGACCACAGATCGCGTCCTTGCCGGTGACGATTCCTTGGCCCGGCTGGACGGGTTTGGGGTTGAGGCAAGAAGGGATGTGCCTTAGCTTCTTGAAGGAAACCAGAAAGGAACCCCAAACACTAAACCCTCAACCCTAAGCCCAAAACCCTAAGCCCTAAACCCTAAACCCTAAACCCTAAACCCTAAACCCTAAACCCTAAACCCTAAGCAAGAGAAGCAAAAAGGTCACATGGCTCCGTAACTCGGGTCCCGAGGTTCCTTTCTGCTTGATGTAAGGCTGGATCTCAATGTCCACCTGCATGGCTCAAGGTTGGGGTTTCGTGGTTCGGGGTTTAGGGTTTAGGGTTTAGGGTTTCGGGTTTCGGGTTTAGGGCTTAGGGTTTAGGGCTTAGGCTTTGGGCTTTAGGCTTTAGGCTTCAGGCTTTGGGCGCTAGCTTTGGGGCGCTTTGGTTCAGCTTCGCGTTGAAGGAGACTGGAAAACCCTAAACACCCCCCAAGTCTAGACCCTGTCACATAAACCCTAAACCCTAAACCCTAAACCCTAAACTCTAACCCCTAGACCCTAAGCGCTGAACCCTAAACATCCCTAAACCCAACCCCAGAAACTTAACACCCAAGCCCAAAGACCGAGCTACCCTACTCCCTGGCCCACCCTCACGCATTTTTTTCAACTCCTAAGCAGTCGCTGTTTAGGGTTTGAGGTCCCTAAACCCTAAACCCTAAACCCTAAACCCTGAACCCTGAACCCTGAACCCTGAACCCTAGACCCTAAACCACAAACCGTAAACCCTAAACCCTAAACCCTAAACCCTAAACCCTAAACCCTAAACCCTAAACCCTAAACCCTAAACCCTAAACCCTAAACCCTAAACCCCATACCATTCAGGGTGTTTAGGACTTACTGTTGCTTCAGATCTTGGCTCCCCAAGCCAGGGGCACGCGTTTAGGGTTTAGGTTTAAGGTGTCGGATTTGGGTTTCGGGTTTAGGGTTTATGGCTTGGGGTTTAGGTTTAAGGTTTCGGATTTAGGGTTTAGGGTTTAGGGTTTAGGTTTAAGGTTTCGGATTTAGGGTTTAGGGTTTAGGGTTTAGGGCTTAGGGTTGAGGGTTTAGGGTTCAGGGTTTAGGATTTAGCTTTTAGGGTTTAGGGTTTAAGGTTATGGTTCCTTGAGGGCTGGCTTCCGCCCGTGAGTGCCTTCAGGGCTTTAGGGTCTAGGGTGGGTACTTCGGGGTACCTAAATCTGGGGGCCTTACTAACTGGGGGTTTGTGGAGGTTCTAACAGTATACTTATAAAGGGACCGGAAGGGAACACCACTAGTAATTCTTCCGACCCCTACATTACATGTTGTAGGTTTTCGTGTTGGATGTAAGACCGCTAGGGTTTAGGGTTTAGGGTTTAGGGCTTAGGGCTTAGGGCTTAGGGTTTAGGGTTTAGGGTTTAGGGTTTAGGGTTTAGGTTTGGACGCTAAAACCCCTGGGCACACGGTCGCCGCGCCCATAGTACGGCTGCTTCGGGACTTTCGAGGAGTCGAACCTGATTTCTCTCCTCCCTCTAGGGTTTAGGGTTCAGGGTTTAGGGTTTGGGGTCTAGGGTTTAGGGTTTATGGTTTAGGGTTTATCCCTCTACCTCCCTCCCCTCCCTCCCTCCTCACACTCACTCTCACTCTCACTCACACTCCCGCTCCCGCTCCCACTCGCACTCTCAATCTCAATCTCACACTCACCCGTGGGAGAGGCTCACAGTTTAAGAATGTTTGCTTATGTCAATTCATCTACAAAGTCCAGTACTCGAAGAGCCCAGGAACGGCCTCAGACAAGCTTCACCAAACTGGCACATGAGGCTGGCAGAAACGTTCTTACCGTCGCATAGCTTCACCGCGTAGTTGCATTGAGGCCAATGCCCGGGCTGCGTGATTTCCTGGCGGGCTCTTAAGGAACCAACAGCATTCGGGCATCCAAAGAGAACGCAAGACAACAGGCACCATGGTTATAGCCAAGTGTCCGCCATCCACTGCAAGCCCTGTGCATCTTCGTAGATGAGGCCGCCCTCTTCCTTAGGCAACTCATCGATGGGGTTCCCTTCTGCGTCGCCATCGCTGATGCAGTTGCGCCTGCTGCCACTTCCACAAGCGGCATCATATCCTGCTTGCTGGGTGCTTTCATCGCAGAGCACGACAGTGTAGGTGCATCCGGGCCAGGTTGATACAGCCTGGACCAGGGCGCTGTGCTGGCGTCCCCAAGCATCGACATAGACCGCGTTCTGTCCCTTCTTCTTTCGGCAGAGACCTCCGGAAGAGTCCAAATCAGACTGAAGTTCCGCCACGGCATCTTTGTCGCGCAGGCCGTGGGTCGGCGAGACCACCGCAATGGCGAGAAGTACGAGGAACATGGCAAATGTTTGACGGACTGCTGGCTTAGTTGCGGGAGCTAAAACGGCACCACGTCAACGGTGGTATCTAGTGCGTGTAGTTCCCAAACAGGGTTTGGCTACCTACACAGCACGTCAGATGACTACCCTAGACCGAGAAGGACTTGCAATCCTAAGCGGGTCTCCAAGTTTAGGGTCTGGGCTTTCAGGTTTTCGGGTTTAGGTTTTAAGGGTTAGGGTTTTGGGCTAGACAGGTTATGACGTTAGGGCTTTGTTGGCTTTAGGATTGAAGCCCTGCAGGGCCCAACGCAAAATCCAAGGTTCTAGGTCTTTGGGATTCTATAGAGGTTACCAACTAGTTGTTGTTCGAGATCTTTCGGGATTTAGGAAGTTTTGTTAGGGGTTTCTTGCATGTTTCCAAACCCTAAACACTAAACCCTGAACCCTGAACCCTGAACCCTAAACCTTTTTAGGGCTTTAGGGCTTTGGGGCTTTAGGGGTTTCTTGTATGTTTGTGTTTGCGGCGCACACGCTCGACATTGCGGCAGAGTCTCTTTGAGAGCTGCCATCTAAGTGAGGATTTCCTGGACCTGCTGAAGTTTCTTGGAAGGAAAAGGGTTTAGGGTTTGGGGTTTAGGGTTTATATAGGGTTCAGGGTTCAGGGTTCAGGGTTCAGGGTTTAGGGTTTAGGGTTTAGGGTTTAGGGTTTAGGGTTTAGGGTTTAGGGTTTAGGGTTTAGGGTTTAGGGTTTAGGGTTTAGGGAGTCCAGTACGATGCAGAGTCGATCTTGTTACGGAATCTGCGGCCTATGGGGCCTCTCCCCAGAGCGTGCATATACTGCAAGAAAGTGTTGCACAAGAAACGTGTGTGGCGCAGAAAATGACCCTGTCTAACTGTATGTGTAGATCTGTATACATATAGATACATATATATATATGTATATATATATGTATATTTATATATATATATAGAATGTATATCCACATTAAAATACCTCTTCCATATACATATACATGTACGCAAATACATGCACATATACTACTACACATACACACATACACTCATCCATACATGCACACATACACACATACACATATACACACATTCACACATCACACCTACATATATACATAAATAAATACATACATACATACATACATACATACATACATACATACATACATACATACATACACACGCACATGCACAGTTATAGCGAATCTTGCTTTACCCTACAGATCTCTCAAGAGAGCCAGCTTATGCCCGTGGAATATGCGCAGGGCCAGGTATTCGGTACACTCAGTACCTTGAAACGCCCTAGAAGGAACGTTCCTGCAAAAACGGCGAGCGTTGGATGGTTTCGGGTTTTTGGGGATTAGGGTTTAGGGTTTAGCTCCTAGGTGTAGTATAGGGCGGGCTGATCTACATGCTGGGCCCTGCTCCATTCCAATGAGCGCCTGACAATTTTAGGTCCAGGGTTTAGGATATTTGGGGTCTGAGTTATAAACCCGGAACCCTAAACCCTCAACCCCCAAACCCGAATTGGGGCTGGGGACTCTAAAGCTCAGTTGTCCAGTAACCTGGGGGAATGAAAGTTAACCTTTGGGACTACAAGAGGATTATACTACCCCAAAAAGGTTAAAGGACAGCTACTCTACTACTAGGAAAGCGTTCACTCCTTCACCATGTGGTAGGACATGTCCGACGCTGTGGGGCAGCACATGGTCCGTGGACAGGTGCCTGAATCAGGGCATGTGGACCTGAATTCTCCAAACCCTAAACCCTAAACCCTAAACCCTAAACCCTCAACCCTAAACCGTACTAAGCACTGCAGTGCACTTATACTACAAGGGCCTTGCTGATTAGAATAGAGTTTTGGGGGCCATTATAGTATAATCATATCCTTGCTTGGTGGCCCGAAGATGCTTGAAGTGACTCTCACAGACCCACATAGCGCCTTTCAAATTATGATCGGGGTCTAAACCCTAAACCCCTCCTTCACTCCAAGAACAATAAACCAGCCCTGTGTAGGGCTTAGGGTTTAGGGTTTGGGGTTTAGGGTATAGGGCTTAGGGTCTGGAAACCCTGGACCCTAGACCCTAAGGACATGAACCCGCAAGATCAACAAGGGCCATGTCCCCCAGAACCCTCAAACCCTCCCAAGACCCCTAAGGCCCTAAACTCCTTAAGCCCTGAAAAACCAAGGTTTAGGCTTTTAGGCTGAAGGCTTTAGGCTTTAGGCTTTAGGGTTTACGGTTTAGGGGTTAAGGTATCGGGTTTAGGGTTTAGGGCTTCGGGGCCCCAAACTCCCAAAACCCCCTAAACCCTAAACCCTAAACCCTAAACCCTAAGCCCTACACCCTAAACCCCTAAAAGTCTTCAGGCCGTGGAGCTGACACGGGATAGGAGGCCCCCTTTGTCAAAGTCCAGGCCGCACACCTTCAAAGGTCTCGGAGCAGAGGTTCAGGGTTTGGGGTTTAGGGTTTAGGGTTTAGGGTTTAGGGTTTTGGGTTTAGGGGTCTAGGGTTTCGGGGTTTAGAGTTATGGGTTTAGGGTTTAGGATTTAGGGCTTAACCCCGAAACCCTAGACCCCTAAACCCAAAACCCTAAACCCTAAACCCTAAACCCTAAACCCTAAACCCTAAACCCTAAACCCTAAACCCCTAAACCCTAAACCCTAAACCCTAAACCCTAAACCCCAAACCCTAAACCCTAAACCCCTAAACCCTCGAAACCCTAAACCCTAAAATCCTAAACCCTAAGCCCTAAAATCCTAAACCCTAAACCCATAACTCTAAACCCCGAAACCCTAGACCCCTAAACCCAAAACCCTAAACCCTAAACCCAAAACCCAAAAACCTAAACCCCAAAACCCTAAACCCCTAAACCCCTAAACCCCCAAACCCTAAACCCTAAACCCTAAACCCTAAACCCTAAACCCCCTAAACCCCCCAAAACCCCAAGATGATGGCTCTTCCCGGGCGCCTGCTGCCCCGCGGGCGCCACAAAGCGCCGCGAGCGCGTGGACTCGAGACCGCAGAGGCGGTAGAGGCCGCCAGACCTTTGAGGGCTTTCTGGGGGCTTCAGGGTTGAAGGGTTTAGGGTTTAGGGTTTGGGGTTTGGGGTTTAGGGTTTAGGGTTTAGGGTTTAGGGTTTAGGGTTTAGGGTTTAGGGTTTAGGGTTTGGGGTTTAGGGTTCAAGTTTCTAAAAACTGGACTCGCTGGAAAGCGGGAGTTACTTCCTCTAGCAGTAGCGAAACTACAAACCTCCCTCCTCACTCCGATGTCGCCCACCATGTTCACTTGGAATGTTCCCTCTCATACTAAGAGTCCTTAGTAGGGATTATAGTAGGGGTTACCTTAATCCCAATTTAGGACTGTTAGTATAAGGGGGAACATCCCAAATGTTCAAAAACCCTAAACCCTAAACCCTACGCCCCATCCTCTGTCATTCCTCCTTCATGAGGTGGATGGCCGCCCCCCCGTGCCCTTCACCACCCTATCCACCCTCCTCTGGACCATTCAGGGTTTACGGTAAAGGGTTTGGGGTAGGGTTTAGGGTTTCGGTGTCTACTTGGAGGTTCATGGTACTTATAACCCCAATGATAAGTCTACTTATAACCTACTTCGAGGACTTAGGGGGCTTATAAGTACAGTTGGGTAATAAGTCATAAGTACATTCAGGGCCCAGGGCGCATGGAAGCTGCGACCCGACTTCCGAACCTTCCCTTCAAACTACCAGGTTAGGACGTTCCGTTTCAGGGTTTGGGGTTCAGGGTTTGGGGTTTAGGGTTTAGGGTTTAGGGTTTAGGGTTTAAGGTTTAGGGTTTAGGGTTGAAGGTTGGGATGTTCCCCCTTATACTAACAATCCTTCATGGGGATGCTAGTACCAATCCCCATTAAGGACTGCTAGTATAAGGCGGAACATCCCAAGGTAAGAGTGTTTCTTTCTTGGCTGTCGTGCCTTTTTTTGTCGTCGTGGCAGGGGGTGGTGCTTATTTTGCTGTCGTGGCGGGGAAGGTGCCTTTTTTTTGCTGTCGTGGCGGGGGCGCGCTTTATTTGCCTGTCGAGGTAGCGGGGGAGTTGCGTTTTTTTTGCTGTCGTGGGAAGGGGGGGGGGCATCGTGGGGGGCACGGGGACTCACTCATTCCTTCATTCACTCATTCACTCACTCACTTACTCACTCACTGGGACTTTTTTGTTTTGCTGTCATGGTGTGGGGAGCTTTTTTTGCGGTCGTGGCTTGCTATCGTGACGGGCACGGAGGCCACTCAACTGGGCTGCCCTGGCCCCTAATGTGTGGCTTGAGGCACTTCTTTTTTGCTGTCGGGGTCGTGGCGGGGCGTTCTTTTTGGCTGTTGTGGCGGGGACGAAGAGGATCCAGGTTTAGGGTTCGGGTTGAGGGCTTAAGGTTTGGGGCGCAGGGTCCCCAAAGAGGGCCACGTCCGAGGCGCGAAAGGTAAAAGCTGATGGAGTTGCCGAGGTGAGCATCCCCGGCGCGCCTCTGGTCCGCCCAACCACCACGGCTGGGGGGGGTAGAGAGCTTTTTTTTTTTTGGGGTGGGGGGGGGGGGTGGGGGGGGGGGTGGGGGGGGGGGTTTTAGGGTTTAGGGTTTAGGGTTTAGGGTTCAGGGTTCAGGGTTCAGGTTTCTGATTCGGAGTCTTTATGGGTTCAGAGATCTAGGGGGTTCGGGGCTTAGGGCTTAGGGTAGGGCCGTTTCGGGAAAGCCCCTAAGGCCCGAAACCCTAACCCCTAAACCCCAAGGCCCGCAAAACCATTTTGTGTTTGGAGCTTGCTGATGGCTGAGGGGCGGGCGGAGGGTTCCTTGGGTTCGTCTCCTCTCCCCGCCCTAAAGCCTAAACCCTAAACCCTAAACCCGAAACCCTAAACCCAAAAAGACCACCACGATAAAAAATGAAAGGAAAAAGGAGCAGCGATGCGCCCCTCTGAAGGGTTT